ACAACACAGCTATGCTTTATATGCACCATATGTCTGAACTGCTGCTGTCAAACCACAAGTGAAGAAGTCCAAGCTGCATATCAGCACACTGGTCTGTTCCTTAGGACATCAAGTGGCACGGCTTTTCAGTTGCTACAGGTGTTACAGTGCTACAGTTATTTTCCAGAGTGTTAGCAGATAAGTTTCTATTATTAAAGCTTCAAGGGTACCACAAAACCATCTCTCACTATTCAACTATATATAATCTATAGACTGGTACATAAATTTTGGTACTATCTTGGTATGGTACTAATCATAAGAACTTGATCTTAAGCAATGTACACTTCCACTTAAAAAAGCAGTTTAAAAGTGTTTAGAAGGAAAACCAGAAAATGTATTTAGAAATTGTAGTTTCCATTCTGTATAAACTGGCAATGACCAGAAGAGGCATTGTTTTTAAAAGTCTTCAATTCTAACTAGATAGGCAGCAATTGCCTCCTGACAACAGTGTATAAATGCTGCGAAATACAGAAAATGGATACACCCAGTACACTTTGGTACCAAAATGTCATTGCATATAGGTGCTGACATGTCTTTTAAGTAATTCAAGGAGTGACACCCCCCTAGAGCAGCAAAAGCATGAATGTAAGGAAAGTAAGATCTGATATGTGGCCTTCTTAAAAAAAAAAAACAAAAAACCAAAACCAGAAGGATGTATTTACCTGAATGAACTGTTTCAATTGTGCACTGTTATTCTGATGTCCATCAAGGTTTAGCACATTATCAGGAAATTCCATCACCATCTATAAAAGAGAGGGGGAAAAAAAGCTTTCAGAAAAAAAGTCAAACACAGAGTATTAGTTTATTTTGCTTTCTTGGGGGAAGTAAGTCAGAAATTATGTTAAACGCTTATTCTTTTCACATGACTATTAGAAGCTTGGGAAAGAATAAAAGTAAGTTTAAGATAGGGAATGTTTCAGCAAAGTAACTAAATGTTTCACTAATATAATGTTCTAGAGGCAGTTAGTTTATAAGTGATAACTCAAATAGCTGTTAAAGAGAAAGCAAAGGTTGCTAAATGGAACATCAGTGTTTATATTATACTATCTACATGACTTGAGACTCTGTTTCAGTTAAAAAAAAAAAATTGTACTTCAACACACTGAGATCCAAATTGATCCAACAGCCTAACTCAATTTATAAAGCTATGAGAAACAGTCACAACACTTTAATGACTGAGTCAACTCCTTCAAAGGCTAATTTAAAACCATATTAACCCAACAAGGTACTCCAAGTTATTCTTTGTTTTGTATGACTGCAGCTGCAACTCTCAAAAGGCTCCAAGTAAAATGTTAAGCCTACGGATCAATGTGATTACTCCTAAGTAATTAATAATCTTTCTTTTCAAATTACTGAGCAACAAAGAGGGCAATTTCTTGGGGGAGGCTGTGTGGGGGGGAGATCAGTAAAATAATTTTCAGTCAAAAATCCAACTTTACAACCAAGGAGAAAAAAATGAAACCAACTAGAAAAATGCATAAAAACTGGCTTAGTTGATCTTCTTTCTCCAAACTGAGAAATATAGAATTTATCAACATGAATATTGAAAGTTCACTTTAAAATCTAAAAGACAAAACAACAACTCTGGTTAATAACTCTAATACCAATCAACACCAAATGAAATTGTCTGGTTCAATCTTTTTTCTTCCCTCCACCTTCCCTCAACTGTCTAGTAAAGACAGAATTCCCTGCTGTCTTCATAATTGCTGACACTACCTCCAGAGGACTCATACATTTACTTTTACAGGCACTCAACATTGCTCCAAAATAAACATCTATTCTCTAAGGCCAGAAAGCAAGGCAATATTTTGATCTCACATGTGCTAGAATTGGAACATTAGCACAGCTGCCTTATCTTTGTGCAGAACAGTGCCACAGTCAGTGCTAATTCTGACCTCTCATGCATTTCTTTTCCAGTTTCCCTTGCCCCTGACCCATACACACTAAGCAGCAGCACAAGTTTTTGCTGCAGAATTACAGGTTTCCTACATTGCTAATTTGATGTTTCTATGGGGAAGGAGCTACATGCAAAAGTAAAAGCTCTGTCTGCTAATAACAGACAAAAGAGATAAGTCTGCGTATTTTTTTTCCCCTCACCTTCATCTCCCACTATCAGACAACACCCTTAGATGTTTTGTACAACAGAGTGAAATTGTCAAAGACTAAATTAACTCTTGTGTCTGATGAGATTTTTATTAAATGGCTAAACATCACACCCTGAACTGGAAGAAAAAAAATCTCGTAATACCACATCAAATGAAATGCCTTCTAGAAATCATAAAAGCTGCTTAAGATATGAAAAGGGTTAAATATTTAAACTTCCTTTAATTTCCAATTGAGTCATAAGAAACAGAAAAGTATGATAGCGAACAATTCATTTAGGGGAGCAAAATCACATTGCACCTAAACAGCTTTCTGTGCTACTACAAAGCTTAAGAGCATTATAGGCCATTCATTCACTAATTTGCAATCACCGATTTACTATTTCTAGATTTAAGGCATAGATTAAGTCTTCCAGCTGACTAACAGAAAGGAAGTAGTCCTATTATTTTTAAAATTTGAGTTTTAAAATAGGCTAACACAAACCAGTTACTATCAATAAACACCACTTTTAAAGATAACGTTGCAGATGTAAAATTTTGTTTCAAAGACAACTGCATCTTTTGCAATAGCTCTCCTTAAGAATTTAAAACATAAATTATAGAATGAGACAAGGAAGCTCAGAGTTCATTCACTCACTGCTGCTGATTTATTTAATAAAAGCCTCCAGAAACCACCTAGGAATCCGAGTACTTTGTAACGGCAGTAACAGAATGGGAGAAAAAAAATGGACCTGAGATAAGATTCCCTCATCGTGAGGATGACTTGCACTTGCATAAACGCCTTTCATCCACATGGATACCAAACTGATTTACAGCTACAGGAACCTCTTCAACCATGAGCATGGCTTGCCTCTGGCGTAAAAAGTAGAAGGATAGCGACAACACAGTGCAATTGCATAAAGTTTAGGCCTGGCGTTACATTCTGGAACTAAACCACGTCTGGAATTTTAGGTCAGTTGAAGTCATCTACCTGACACCTGGTATAGCCGAATTTTCACTCTCTCTCAACCTATTAAACACAAGAGCATGGTAAGTCTTCTACTTGACACAATCTAATGAGTATTTTTTTACTAAGCAGTCCATGGAGCGGTGAAAAAAAAAAAGAAAGAAAGAAAAAAAAAAAAAACAGAAATCTAAGATCGTAAAACTACATGGGGAACAGAGGGGCAAAATAACTTTCAAGACATGGCCAAGACACCCAAACCCCCAAACGTACACTATTCCTACACAGCGCTGGGTTTTCCAGGTAATCAACCACTCCAGGAGAGCTAGATATTGCTTTGGACAACTTAAGGGGAAACGTTGCCTAACCTATAAGCACAGTTAACGAGAGATGACAGACGACGTAAAGCCAAAAAATAGCGATGATACTTGGTAAATTAATAATATGCTATCATTTAAAATGATCAAAACTAAAATATAAAGACTCTTTCTTCAAATGTAGCAAACCAAGATAGGATTAAGACAGATAATCTTTAACAGTGGGATGGAGGGTTAAGAGACTGTCTGAAGATACTCAATTATTTTGTTCTGGAAGATGGAAGAAATTACATTATGAAGTTGATCATTAGCTGATACAAGTCAGGCATCCTCCCATACTAAACCACAAGATTAGGAATTTAAAGCACATACATTTTACACCATTTGAAGTAAGAGCAGTTACTGTCACACCACTGACGGCAACAGAATTCAAATACAAATAATTACAATGCCTAATTGCACTAAGTCCAATTTTATTTTCAACCCAATCTGTTCACACCTTAAGATTAAGACAAACAACAACTGGCTAGGTAGAGATTATTTTTCCCCCCATTCGCTCTGTGTTCACCTATGATGCAATTTCTGAGCCTTCCTCTAAACACACAAGGAAAAGAAGAGAGACTAGAGAGCCTCCAAGCTGTATGTAGCTCATTTTTCCACTGAATCTTCTGGAAATGGCAAAACCCTCATGTTTTCCAATCCAGAATATTACGCTGAAATTGAAACTCTCTCACATTTGTTGCTGTAGACATGGCAGCACATTATCACAGACTCAATAACCCTTACTTTAAGCCAAAGCTTTCAAAAACACCTTTAGCCTTTTCTTGCCTATTTAAGATCATAATAATTACCTAGTTGTAAACCTGGGTTTTAACGTTAATATGGCTCCCTTCCTTATTAACTGAAAAATGGCTTTGCTCCACAATTGGGCTTGGGCACCCAGACATGCTTGTCACTTGAAAACAAGTTATGCACAGGCCCAAATACAGCGACAACTTTCTTATTGTGCAGTTTGCATGTTTTTAGAGTTGGGAATCAGATAAAAAAGTTGCCACATTAAGCGCTGTTAACCCCAAGTGTTGCAAAGTCCCAAAGATTAACGCTGCAGGAGCAAAGGAGGAGCCTAGGAGGCCCGTCTAGAGAAAAGGCCTCGCCTGGGAATTGCAACACACCGCCCGCACACGTTGCAAGCGGGAGGTGCAGGGACACCCGGTGCTCCGCGGGGCGCAGGCACTCACCGTGAGGGTGTCATCGATGTAGAGGGGAATCTGCCTCTTCTCGAAAGGGAATTCCTCCTCCCCGTCTCTGCAAACTGCAACCAGGCGCGCCATCTCTGCTGCTGTTGCTGCTTCCTCCCAGCTCCAGCCTGCGAGCAGCCAAACCCCGGGGAGGTAAATACACAACGCGCTTCCCCGGCACACTTTCACCACCCCGGGAAC